GGGTGGGGGTGGCTGGACTCTACCCATGCATGAATTTGTGCACCAGGCCTCTAGTTAATAACATTAAATGTAAATGGATTAAATGCTCCAATTAAATGACATCAAGTGACTGAATTCATAAGAAAACAAGAGACACACCTCAGAACAAGGGATTTACACAGACTGAAAGTAAAGGGATGAAAAAATGAAAATTTTTCAGACAAATGGAAATGAAAAAGAAACTGGGATAGCAATACTTATAGCTGACAAAATAGACCTCAAAGTGAAGACCATAACAAAAGACAAGGAAGGCTACTTCATAATTTTAAAGGGATTGATACAACAAGAGGATATAACTCTGGTAAACATATATGCACCCAATGTAGGAGCACCCAAATACATTTTTAAAAAAAACTTCTGGAAGATATCAGAGGAGAGACTGACAACAATACAATCATAGTAGGAGACTTTAATACCCTATTAACATCACTGGATAAATCCTCTAGACAAAAAAATGAGCAAAGAAACAGCAATCCTAAATGACTCACTAGATCAGATGAACTTAATTGCCATGTTCAGAATATTCCAACCCAAAGCTACAGAATATACATTCTTCTCAAGTGCACATGGGACATTTTCAAAGATAGACCACATATTGGGACACAGGCAAAGTTTCTCCAAATTCAAGAAGATAGAAATAACATCAAGCATCTTCTCAGATCACAATGGCATGAAATTAGAAATCAACTACAATAAAAACAATCACAAAAATTCAAATACTTGGAGGCTGAATAAATAGTATACTATTAAACAATGATTGGGTTACCAAAGAGATCAAAGAAGAAATAAAAAGCATCCTGAAAATAAATGACAATGAAAACACAATAATCCAAAATCTATGGGACACAATGAAAGCAGTCTTGAGAGAGAAGTACATAGCTCTACAGGCTTATCTAAAAAAAAAATCACATAAGAGAAACAGGTAATAAGCCATCTAACTCTTCAATTTGAAGAATTAGGAGAGCAACAAGAAAAGCCAAGAGTGTGCAGAAGGAAGGAAATAATATAAATCAGAATGGAAATAAATGACATAAAGACAAAAAAAAATACAAAAGATTAATAAAACCAAGAGCTGGTTTTTTGTTAATCAGCTTAACAATAACCCACAACTTTTGGACCAACCAAGAGCTGGTTTTTTGAAAGTATAAACAAGATAGATGAACCTCTAGCCAGACTCACCAAGAAGCAGAGAGAGGACCTAAATAAACAAAATCAGAAATGAAAGAGGCAAAATAACAACAGACCTAACAGAAATACAATGAATCATTTTTAAAAAAATACTATGACCAACCCTATTCCAACAAATTGGTCAACCTAGAAGAAATGGATATATTCCTAGAAAAATACAACTTCTCAAAACTCAACCAGGAAGAATCAATAATTCTGAATAGGCCAATAACTATAGAAGAAATTGAAGCAGTAATCAAAAAACTTCTAACAAACAAAATCACTGGAACAGATGGCTTCACAGGGAAGTTTTATCAAACATTCAAAGAAGAAATAAAACTTATCTTCCTCAGACTATCCCAAAAATTTGAAAGGAGCACTTTCTACATAGCCAGTATTACCCTATTCCCCTAAACCAGATAACAATACAAAAAAGAGAATTATAGGCCAATATCTCTCATAAACATAGATGCCAAAGTTCTCAACAAAATTCTAGCAAATTGAATACAGCATTACATTAGAAAGATCATACATCATGACCAAGTAGGGTTTATTTCAGGGATGAAAGGATGGTACAATGGCCACAAATAAATAAACGTGATATACCACATAAACAAATTGAGAAATAAAAACCATATAATTGTCTCCATTGATGCATAAAAAGCATCATAAAATCCAACACCCTTTCTTGATAAAAACTCTCAGCAAGGTGGGAATAGAAGGATTATACCTCAACATAATAAAAGCCATATATGACAAAACATCATACTCAATGGGCAAAAACAAATCATTTCCCCTTAAGAACAAGAACAAGACAGGGATGCCCACTCTCACCATTCCTATTCAACATAGTACTGGAGATACTAGACATGGCGATCAGACAAGAAGAAATAAAAGTCATCCAAATTGGAAAAGAAGACATGAAATTGTCATTATTTGCAGATGACATGATACTGTACACAGAAAACACTAAAGACTCCATCAAAAAACTACTAGACTTAATAAGTGAATCAACAATGTAGCAGGATATAAAATTAATACCCAGAAGTCAATGGCTTTTTTATTTATTTTATTTATTTTTATATTTTATTGATTTTTTACAGAGAGGAAGAGAGAGGGATAGAGAGTTTGAAACATCTATGAGAGATGAACATCCATCGGCTGCCTCTTGCACACCCCCTACTGGGATGTGCCCGCAACCAAGGTACATGCCCTTGACCGGAATCGAAGCTGGGACCTTTCAGTCCCCAAGCCGATGCTCTATCCATTGAGCCAAACCGGTTTCAGCTCAATGGCTTTTTTATACACCAGTAACGAACTCACAGAAAGAGAAACTAAAAAAAAGATACCTAGGCATAAATTTAATCAAGGAGGTAAAGAATTTGTACTCAAAAAATTACAGTACATTGAAAAGAGATAGAAGAAGACATAAACAAATGAAAGAATATAGTATGTTCATGGGTTGGTAGAATTAACATAATTAAAATCTCCATCAAAATGATAAGCTTTTGTACAGCAAAAGAAATGATCAACAAAACAAGAAAGCCCACTGCATGGGAGAACATATTTGCCAATGTTATCACTAATAAGGGTTTAATCTCCAACATTTACAGGGAACTCATACAATTTAACAAAAGGAAGGTAAACAACCCAATCAAAAGATGGGCAACAGACCTAAATAGACACTTTTCAAAAGAAGACATAAGGAAGGCCAAGAGACATATGGAAACATGCTCAAAGTCACTAATCATATGAGAGATGCAAATCAAAACAACAATGTGGTACCATCTATTTAGGGGGGCAGTTGGACATCCTTCTCACAATCCAGGACTGCTGGCTCCCAACTGCTCACCTGCCTGCCTTCCTGATTGCCCCCTAAATGCTTTTGCCTGCCAGCCTGATCACCCCTAACCACTCCCATGCCAGCCTCATTGATGCCTAACTGCTCCCCTGCCAGCTTGTTTGCCCGTAACTGCCCTCCCCTTCAGGCCTGGTCACCCCTAACTGCCCTCCCCTACAGGCCTGGACCACCCCAACTGCTCTCCCCTGCAGGCCTGGGTCCCTCCCAACTGCCCTTTCCTGCAGGCCTTGTTGCCCCCAACTTCCCTCCTCTGCCAGCCTGGTCACCCCTAACTGCGCTCCCTTACAGGCCTGGTACCTCCCAACTTCCCTCCCCTGCTGGCCATCTTGTGGTGGCCATCATGTGTCCACATGGGGGCAGGATTTTTGACCACATGGGAGCAGCTATCTTGATCTTCTGTGTTGGAGTGATGGTCAATCTGCATATTACTCTTTTATTAGATAGGATAGAGGCTTAGTGCATGGGTGGGGGCCGGCTGGTTTGCACTGAAGGGTGTCCTGGAACAGGATGAGGGATTCCCTTGGGGCGTGGGGTGGCCTGGGCAAGGGGCCTGTGGTGGTTTGCAGGCTGGCCATGCCCCCCCCAGGCAACCAAAGTGGAGGTCCTGGTATCTGGGATATATTTATCTTCTATAATTGAAACTTTGTAGCCTGGAGCAAAACCAAGCCTTCTGCTAGCTCATGGCAGCAGCCATTTCTGTTGTGGTTTATTCACCTTCTATAATTGAAACAGGTTTGGCTCAGTGTTTAGAGCGTCGGCCTGCGGACTGAAGAGTCCCGGTCATGGGCATGTACATTGGTTGCGGGCACATCTCCAGTGGTGAGTGTGTAGGAGGCAGCTGGTTGATGTTTTCAGCTTTCTATTCCTCTCCCTTCCTCTCTGTAAAAAATCAATAAAATATACATTAAAGAAAAGAAAAGAAAAGAAAAGAAAAGGAAAGAAAGAAAAGGAAAGAAAGAAAGAAACAAACAAACAAATAAACAAACAAACTTTGTAGCCTGGAGTTGAGGCCTAGACTGGCCAGGGCAGGTGGAAAGCTGGGCTTCCTCTGTTGCTGGGGGCAACCCTAGCCTGCTCTCTCCAGCTCCATGGCTGCCACCATTTTCCTTGGGATTTATCTTCTATCATTGAAACTTTATATCCTTGATTGGAGGCCTGGGCCCGCCAGGGTGGGTGGAAAGATTGGATTCCTCCATTGCCAGGGAAAGCCAAGCCTCCCTCCTACTCCCTGTGGTGGCAGCCATCTTTGTTGGGGTTAATTTGCATACTCACTCTGATTGGCTGGTGGGCGTGGTTTGTGGGTGTGGTTTGTGGGTGTAGGTTTCCAGTTGTTCAGATGGAAAAGAATACAATCCTATATAATAAAGAGGTAATATGTAAATTGACAGTCACTCCAGCAAACAAGATGGCTGCTGCCATGTAGTCAAAGATGGCCACCCCCATGTAGACAGAAGATGGCTGCCACAAGATGGCCAGCAGGGGAGGGCAGTTAGGGGTGACCAGGCCGGCAAAGAAGGGCAGTTGGGAAGGATCAGGCCTGAAAGGGAGGGCAGTAGGAGGCAATTAGGCCTGCAGGGGACAACAGTTGGGGGGACCAGGCCTACAGGGGAGAGCAGTTGGAGGGGGACCAGGCCTGCACAGGAGGGAAGTTATGGGGAACCAGGCTGGCAAGGGAGGGCAGTTCAGGGGGACCAGGCTGGCAAGGAAGGGCATTTGGGAGGGACAAGGCCTGAAGGGTAGGGCTGCTGGGTAGAGACCAGACCTACAGGTGAGGGCTGTTAGGGTTTAATAGGCCTGCAAGGGATGGCAGTTAGGGAAACCAGGATTACAGGAGAGGGCAGTTGGGGGCAACGTAGCGGGTATTTTAGTGTTACTATAGTCTACATGTCTCAAAAGCATTTACAATCTTGATTGAATTATTATATTAGGTTACCTTAGAAATTGTGTATCATCTGCAAATTCATTTCAAATCTCAGCCTTCAATAAAGACACTGACCAACACAGCATCTGAAAAAAATAAAAGATTCAAAATTAATTTTGAAAATCTTTACAGCAAATTCATATTTTTTGTTATCCAGTATATATTAGAATTATAAAATTAAATTTCTATCATAATTTTATACAAAAAATCAAATTAAAAGAGGATTATCCCTCTACCCCAACAACTTCCAGTGGTTGATCTTTTACAAAGTAGTAAACTGAATGCAAATATTTTATCAGAAATGTGAAGGTATGGCCTGTGTGAGGGAAACTCTAACACCTCTCAAATCTACATATCCCTCATCTTCTACAGGAGGAAACACACTTATTTAAACTAGTATGAAGAGAATATGCAAAGCTTAGAAGAGCTTTGTAGTGTCACACAGAGAAGCTTTGAAGGCTGTTTTGCTTTTAAAAGCATCATGAAAATCCATGCCCACTGGTTTTTGTTTCCTTTTCTGCTTTGTCATACTTTTAGTTCATGTTTTTTAATAATTTCAGTCGTGAATAAGACATTTGTAAAATTTTTATCTCCAAAATTAACATAAAGACTTGTGTGTGTCAGTGTGTGTTTACAATTTACCATCGGAAACAAAAGGAAACACACACTGCTCTCCTTTAGTATATTGCTCTTGCACAAAGAATGACAAACCACTAACTGAGGTTCTGCATCTTTTATTTTCTGAGCAGCAACAACAGGTTTAAATAGGACATTTAATTTTTGATGTTCTTTCTCCTCTATATATGATGTATATCATACAATAATGTAGTAGAAAAAGCATTGGCTTTGGAATCACATAGATTTAAATCTCAATTGCTCTAAACCTCATAGGAAAATATCACGAGTCTTTTTTTTTTAACTGACTTTTTTATACTGCTTGATGACTTGCTTTTTTTAATTTAACAATATATTAACTACTTTCCATATCAATATATGAGGCTCTCTGTAATCTTTTTCAAGCTGCATAATAATTTATTTTAAATTTAACTTAAAAAAATTTCTATTCACCTTTTGAAAAAAAATTTTAAATTCTTTTAAAAATATATATATATTTTATTGATTTTTTTACAGAGAGGAAGGGAGAGAGATAGAGAGCTAGAAACGTCAATGAGCTGCCTCTTGCACACCCCTTACCGGGGATGTGCCCACAACCAACGTACATGCCCCTGACCGGAATCGAACCTGGGACCTTTCAGTCCGCAGACTGACGCTCTACCACTGAGCCAAACCGGTTTCGGCTGAAAAAAAATTTAATTTAACTTATTGTTGAAAGTATTACAGATATCCCCATTTCCCCTCTTCTACCCCCTCTCACCCCAACCCAGGCCTTTACCTATCTATTGTCTGTGTCCATAGGCAATGCATGTATACATATAAATTATTTGATTAATCTCTTCTCACCTTCCTTCCACCTTTAAATTGATTTTGAGAAAGAGAGAGAGAGAGAGAGAGAGAGAGAGAGAGAGAGAGAGAGAGAGATCAATTTGTTATTCAATTTATGTATGTATTCATTGGTTTATTCTTGTATGTGCCATAACTGGGGATTAAACTTGCAATCTTAGCATATTGGGTCAATACTTTAACCAAGTGAACTACACTGCCAAGGCCAATATTATGAGTCTTAATGGGTAGCAGCAAGAGCCTAATGATATAGCAGAAAGAGCTATCCTACCTAATAACAGAGTAATATGCAAATTAATCATCAGTCCGCCACAACCCATGCCCACCAGCCACACCCACCAGCCAATCAAAGCGAGTATGCAAATAAACCCAACCAAGATGGCTACAGTCACAGAGAGCAGGAAGGAAGCTTGGGTTTTCCAGGCAATGGAAGAAGCCAAGCTTTCCACCTTCCCTTGCTGGCTTAGGCCTCTACTCAAGGCTATAAAGTTTCAATTATAGAAGGTAAACAAATTGGAACAGAAATGGCAGCAGCCACGGAGCAAGCAGAAGGCTTGTCTATGCTCCAGGCTACAAAGTGTCAATTGTAGAAGGTAAATAAATTCCAAATACCAGGGCCTCCACTTGCAAACCACCACAGGGCCCTCGCCCAGGCCACCCCACACCCCAAGGGAAACCCCACTCTGATCTGGGACACCCTTCAGGGCAAATAGCTGCCCCCACACATGCACCAGGCCTCTATCCTATCTAATAAGAGTGATATGCAGATTGAGCATCACTCTAACACACAATATGATTGCCCCCATGTGGACACATGATTGCCACCACAAGATGGCCAGCAGGGGAGGGCAGCTGGGAGGGACCAGGCCTGCAAGGGAGGGCAGTTGGAGGTGATCAACCCTGCAGGGGAGAGCAGTTAGGGGTGACCAGGCTGGCAAAGGAGGGAAGTTTGGGGCAAACAGGCTGGCAAGGGAGCAGTTAAACACCGATCAGGCTGGCATGGGAGTGGTTAGGGGTGATCAGGCTGGCAGGTAGAAGCGGTTAGGGACAATCAGTAAGGCACACAGGCGAGCAGTTGGGAGCCAGCAGTCCTGGATTATGAAGAGCTATGTCCCAGATTGGAGAGGTTGTAGGCTGGGCTGAGGGACATGCCACCCCTCCCCTCCATATTAGTTTCATGCACCGGGCCTCTAGTCTATATATATAAAAAACGAGTGACCAGCCGACTGGTCAATGGCCCAATAGGTATGACATGCACTGACCACTAGGGGGCAGACACGTAATGCAGGTGCTGCCAAGGGACAGGAACTATGCAGTGCCCTCTCACGCTCTGGAACCCTCGGGGATGTCGGAGAGCCAGTTTCGGCCTGAGGGACCTCACCGGCAGAAGGAACCCTGCTCACTCTGCAGACACTCTTCAAGCCCTGGTGCCGCCCCAGGTGTGGCTGGCTTGAAAGGGACACCATCTTCCTGGAGATAGTCCCGGGAGGTTGACTCCAGGGCATATCTGGCCCTCTTCGCCCAGTGCCGCCCTAAGGCCTCCTTCTAATTAATTTCTTTTCAATGTGCACAAATCCGTGCACTGGGCCTCTAATAGCACTATAAATCAGGAACAGCACTATTCCTGCCACGTAACATGTACTCTTTATGTAAGCTGTCCTATTATGTATTTTTGTACTTCAAAATCTACTCAATCCGTCAAAGGGCTTTCCAGACTAAATTTAAGTTATAAGAAAGTTGATATAGAAGTTGATATATCAAATAAAAATTTGATAAACTTCTTAGATTTTATTCAATAATTACCAACTTTTTGCAACACTTATTTTACCAAAAATATACATAAAGTATGTTAAAAATAGCAATACAACAATATTACTGAATATATTCCATTAAAAAGGCATGGCCCAAAATCATTAGAAATTGTTCATTTTCTTATGAGCTATGTCACCAAAATGATGTAGTTCTATAAATGTGTTTCAGTTCCTTTTTAGATTCTTCTTCTACCTTTTAATTTTATTTTTGAATATATAAATATACATGATTTCAAGATCAAAATTATATAAACAAATTATATTTAGAGCAATCTCTCTTCCATTTTTGGCACCTTTCCCGTTACCTCCTTCTACATATAGATTACTCTATATACTATTCTGTGCCTTTGTTTTTTTTCTACTTCATAATATATTCTGGGGGTCATTCTATATTGGTACATGGAAACTTTCTATATCTCTTTATGACTTCTGGAGGAAAGGGTGACTTGAAAGGGACACCATCTACCTGGAGATAGTCCCATTGTTGCATGTACTTTAATCAGTTCTCCATTAATAGGCATTTTGGTTATTTCTAATCTTTTGCTAATACAAGTAATGCTGTTGTAACTAACATTATACAAATGACCATTTATATTTTATGCCAGTGTATTTTTAGAACAAATTCCTTGAAGTTAAATGCTGGGTTGAAGGATAAATGCATACAAAATTTTGCTGGATATTGCCAAATTCCCTCCTGGACTTTTATATTCTTACCAACAATGCCTCAAAGTGTCTGTTTCCTCATAATCTATAGAGGCTATTATATACTTTTGGTTTTGGTGAGAAAGATTTTAGTGTTACTATAATTTTTAGCATAGATTTCACTTGCATGACTTTTTTTTTCACTTGTAAGACTTTTATTTTTATTTTATTTATTTAAATTATGAAAGTATTTTTTTAATAAATCTTTATTGTTCATATTATTACAAGTGTTCCTCATTTTTCCCCCTCCATTGCTCCCCTCCACCAGGTTCCCACCCCACCCTCTGCCCTTTCCCCACCCCACATTGTCCTCCTCCATAGATGCACAGTTTATGTTGTTTCTTCCTGCACCCCCACTCCCCTTTTCCCCAAGAATCATCACTCCCCTTTCACACCTCTGATTCTATTATATTCACCAGTTAATATTCATCAGATTTTTTTAATTCCCTTGGTTTTTAGATTCACTTGTTGATAGTTACATATTTGTTGTTCATAATTTTTATCTTTATTTTTTCCCTCTTCCTAAAGGACACCCTTCAGCAATTCATATAATTCTGGTTTGGCGGTGATGAACTCCTTTAGCTATTTTTTAAAAAAATATATTTTATTGATTTTTACATAGAGGAAGGAAGAGGGATAGAGAGCTAGAAACGTCGATGAGAGAGAAACATCGACCAGCTGCCTCTTGCACACCCCCTCCTGGGGATGTGCCTGCAGCCAAGGTACATGCCCTTGACTGGAATCGAACCCAGAACCTTTCAGTCCGCAGGCTGATGCTCTATCCACTGAGCCAAACTGGTTTCGGCTCCTTTAGCTATGTTTTTGTGTGTGTGTGTGTGTGTGTGTGTGTTTTTTTTTGTTGTTGTTGTTTTTTTTTACTAGTGAAGCTCTTTATCTGGCCTTCAATTCTGAGCGATAGCTTTGCTGGATAGATTATCTTTGGCTGTAGGTCCTTGCTATTCATCACCTTGAATATTTCTTGCCATTCTCGTCTGGCCTGCATGGTTTCTATTGAGAAAACAGCTGACAATCGTATGGGTGCTCCTTTATAGGTAACTACCTGCTTTGCTCGTGAGGCTTTTAATATTCTTTGTCTTTTGCTCTTGGAATTT